CAAGCTCATTCCTGCTTCTGTTCAACACATGTTTCTTTTCCATTAAACACCTCCCCGATTCAGAGTTTGGCTGGCTATTTTTCAATCCAATCTCAGCTCAACTTTTACCTTCCTTATAGGGAGGTCTAATTCATTATTGACTCTCTAGCACCTAGAAACAGCATATACCCACTCAAATGCTTGTTGAAGAAGTAAAATAGAATATTGGGTTGGAAATATATGGAAAACCAGATTAAAGATATGGATACAGAAAGCATGCTTGATTCTTCAGTTTCAGACGTGTGTAGCCTTCACTGACATAGGACTTTACACTCATTATCTCTGTGAATGAAATGTCAAAGAGCTTAGGTCATAAACGTCACAACTGGAATCGGTATACCTGAGATCCGCGGCAAGGATGTATTAACTATTGGCTGCTTCTCTGTTCTTGCAAGCATTCTTTGTCTGATTTCCAAGGCTCTTTACTGCCCCATTTTCGATAATTTAGACTGACCAATGTATCGTAGGTTCTTGCTTTTCTGCATCTATACAAGCTAATATTTCTAATGGCAGTGTATAAATGAAAGTTGCCATTTGTTTAAATTACTGCTGAAACGATCACTGCGGGGTAGCCAAATTTTAACTTAACAGCGAAGATCAGAAGTAGACTCCAGTGGGCAGCTTTCTGCCAGGCCACAGTTGTAAGTCACAGAACACAATCCTTTTGTATCTTCCTTAATTCTCAACAACTTTAATGTCAATATTATGAGAAGCCTGATCACTATGGACATATTTGCTAAAAGATAGACTAAACACAGGTTTTTTTTCCTACTGATTGTGAGATATTTGTATTGGAAACTTACATATGAGTTAGGTCTGTGGCTTCTGTTGCCAGCTGGGGCAATTAAGGTGGTCATACATAGTATTATTCCTACTAAGTTTATTTTGACAGGTTTATATGTCAACTTTTACAAAACATTACACTTGTTTTCACACCTTGTAACTCCCGGGTATATTCTGTATTGCCACCTAATTGTAGTATATTTTCATCCCCACGAGGGATGTAGCTACAAGAGTCAGAAGCAAAGGGAGGGAAAAGTTCCAATAAGAGGAAGATGACCTACACTGTGGAGGGTAGCAGAGCAGTGAGAAGAGCAGGACCTGAAAAACTGCCAGCAGCTTTGGAAACTGGTTTCCCTGATCAGAAAGAATGATTTCCGCAGAGAAGGTATGTATGGGCTTGGGCAGAGAGAGGGAAGAATGACATAAACAACTAAAAATGGATTAGTGGTGAGCATGTTCTTTTGAGAGATTGTGAGGTACTGAGAGAAGATGAAAATTTTTTTAATGTAGGAGAGATTTGAGTATGGTTATAGGCAAAACAGATATGGAAGAAAAACATATGTAAAGGAGGAAGGGCTGGAATCAAGAGCAGGTGAAGAGATCACCCTTGGCACATCTTTCAAAGGGAGGATGACCAGAGTTCAGTGGGAAAGGGGGCACTAGAGGAGCACTCACCGAATGACCTTAGTCCCATCCAAGTCATGACAGTATTTTCAAGAGAACCAAATGGAACGCATGCAGGGCACCAGTCATAGGGTAAGTATACAGTAAGCAATGATAGAACTGATGGTTGGTTCTAAACTAAATCGTTAGACTCGTTTCCCTGCTCCTACTAAAGTATGCTCGTATGTGACTCAGAACCCAAGTAGTATAGGAGGACGCGATGAAAAGGTTTATGAATGACAGATACACGTCTGTCACCAAGTTGAGCTCCCTAGAGGAAGAACTACTTGCAACGGTCAAGCTGTTTTTGTTTGTTTTTCCAATAGTGGCTCCCATAACTCTCAATAATACGTTTATGCCCCTGTTCACTTGATTTTTTAATTTTAGGAATAATTTACTGGTTTTTAAGACTGATGAAAATTTAACTCATGACACTTCCTACATTCCTCATATTCTCCTTCTTGGATCATAGTATCACTCACTACTCATGGTTCCTGCATAGACTTTTTTTACAATGTCTAATAATGTATTTTCGCCTTTACGGGATATCAACAGTGTTTCTTAGCTCGCTAGTGTGTAAGATGACAATATCAACACCCCTATGTTTCCTTTTGGCTCTCCTCCCTTTCCTCTCTCTCTCTCTTTTTTTTTTTTTTGACTTTATTTATTTTTAGAAAAAGAAGAGGGGAGGAAGAACAGGACAAAAACATCTACTGGTTGCCTCTCGCACACCCCCAACCGGGGACCTGCAGCCCAGGCACATGCCCCGACTGGGAACCACACCTGCGACCCTTTGGTTTGCAGGGTGACGCTTCACCCACTGAGCCACACCAGCCAGAGTTCTCCTCCCTTCTCTCAGTGTCATCTGTATTCTTACAATTCCATTATGAAGGTTGATGACATTTACATTCTATTTTATGATCATTAGTAATCCTCAGCTGTATAGGTTGATAGATATAGTTCACTGCAGATCACAATTTATCTACTATGATTACATTTCCTTCTATAGTTTTTTGTTTTTCTTTGTGTTTTTTAATTATATTTTCCCGCTGGTCTTTTGGCTTCTATCATAGCTGCAATTATTTTATGTCTCCTACCACGTCTGGTATTCTAGAGCCTTTTGCTTCTCCCCTGGAGACCACCTCTTCCTTGCTTCAATGTGAACTTGTGGCTTTCTCACCCTAACACACAGCTTAGATGCTGTCCTGAACACACTGAATCCATTATTTTCTAGATTCTGTGTTTGACAGCCATCGCCTTTTGCCTTTGTTTTAGGTGAGATCTCCTAGAAGTAGAAGTTTGAAAAATTTTGTGAATAGTTATAAGCATCATAAATATCTTTCTCCAACTTGTGGCTTGTCTTGTATTTGTAAGGATCTCTGTTGATACACTTCTAGTTATATTTCGGAAACATTTCAAATATATTTGCAAAAACTGAATAGTCTCCTCCCCCGCGTGTTAATCGTTCACCCTCTGATACACAATAACTACTTCCTCATAATACTTTTATCATTCAATCACAGTGCATTCCAATTGACTTCATTCAATTAGTTACCTCCTTTCCACAAAAGGTAATGTAATTACTTTGCTCTAGCACTTAGCCCAGTGCCTGGCCATAGTAAGTGCCCAGTAAATGTTTCTGTGGAGAAATGACACCCTTGAGACGAGCCATTCCCTTTCACCCATGCTATACCACCCTATCATGGTCAGGGCTCTTATCTCAAATTCACAGTGCTGGCTCCTTTAACCAGATCACTCACCAACCTGGAATGCTAGAGAAACAGTCAGATGTAAATCTAGGAGAGGCCCCAGAAACATACTCCAGCAGCAACCTGAGGGGGAAACTGCTGCAACTGCTACCACCCCCAAACATGGAGACCCCAACTTTGTTGTAACCTTTGTTGTCCCCCAGACTTGGCCACCTCTGCTGCCACCTTCATTGCCAAGTGGAAGTTCTGGGCAGAGCTTATTTCATGTATCCTAAGTATCCCAACCCTTGCGCAGATGAGTCTGGTAGACTAGGTCATATGACTGCATCCAAGCTGCGAAAGAAGTGTGGATGGGCCTCTAGGCTTTTCTATATGGAGGCAGGACTAAGGTAGAAATTTTCTTAAAATACAGAAAAGAGGACAGGCAAACAAATATGATAGATGTTGTCATACCTTCCAATGGTCCAATACAAGAGTCTCCTAAACTACACAGCAGGGTTGTAACCCAGTTAAGTCAGAACATTTGTACAGGCCTAATCTTTGACCTATTTATCTTTCCTGGCTGACCCCAGAGTTTATTATTTTCCTCATCAAAAATGTTCTTTTAGACCTGGCTGGTGTGGCTCAGTGGATTGAGTGCTGGCCTGCAAGCCAAAGGGTCACCAGTTCGATTCCCAGTCAGGGCTCATGCCTGGGTTGCAGGCCGGGTCCCCAGTGCAGATGTGTGAGAGGCAACGACACACTGATGTTTCTCTCCCTCTCTTTCTCCCGTCTAAAAATAAATAAATACATACAAATCTTTGTTTGAAATGCGCTTTCAGAAGTCCCTCATCTCTTGGTTCTGCTTCCATTGAATCCTGCAACATGACAGGAATGGGCACCTGGACCGGGAGTGAATATGTGGGAGAGAGAGGACTGAAAACTTGATGAAACTGTCATAAACTTATACAGCACAGCTCGGTTTACAATACACTTTCTCACCTCACTTAAATATCAACAACATACACTGAAGTTTTCCTGTTTTCGCTAATTAAAAAAAAAAGATAGGCCCAGGTCTCTTACTGTTGGAAAATTTATGGATAAACAAGAGGCGGAGGCTAGAATGATTTCTGTGGTAGTGGATTAGACTTGGAGACATTTGTATGAACTTATGTTTAATTCATAGTTTCCTACATATATTAATAGAATTATGTGTAATATATATATATATATATATACACACACACAGGTTAGTATATACCTATTTCCTTGCTCTGTGGCTGATATGGTCTAGAAATAAAAACAACACCCCAAGAGCAATGAGGCCCAGATCTTAGTTTGGAATATCCGAGGAAAGGAACCAGGGCTTCTTGGAGACGTGGCTGATTCCAGGGCTGGAGAAGAGATACACAAGATGAGTCTGCAGCACAGCATAGTGCTAAACAATAAGGAAGTGTTGGGGGGGGGAGGCAAAAAACAAAACAAAATGAAAACAACCCTTCCACAATGTTGAGGGTGGGGCGTAAGTCAAAAAGACAGGAACCAACCGGAAGGTCCCAACGGATAGAGCTTGAACAACTTCAGCAACAAAGTATCAGATTATAACTGAAACTGTAAATACATAGGAGCCTATATTTACATGAATGAGTAAATGGGAGAGGTGAGACAAATCACCCATGTAGAAGAATTCCAAATTTATGTAGATACTTGGTCCTCAAGGAGATGGCCCGTAACTCCCCACTCGCTATGTGTGGGCTGCACATAGCTGAGTTCATTCAGAAGAGACCGGAGAGGGACCTATATCAGTGCACTGTGGCTGCCATAACAAGGAATCACAGACGAGGTGGCCTAAACAAAAATTTATTTTCTCACTTTTCCAGAGGCTAGAAGTCCAAAATCAAAGAGATGGCAAGTTTGGTTTCCTCCGAGGCACCCCAGCTTGAAGCAGACCATTTTCTCTCCGTGTCTTCACGTGGTCTTCCCTTATACATGTCTGTGTCCTGGTCTCTTCTAAGGACGCTAGTCATGTTGGATTAAGGTGCTATTGACCTCATTTTATCAACTACCTTTTTAAAGACACTATCTCAAAAAACAGTCACATTCTGAATTGCGAGGGCTGAGGTTTAGGACTTCGGTTTATGGATTTTGAGGGGCCACGATTTAGCCTATTGCAGGGGGAAGAGACTTAACTGCAGTGGAGACACCTGACACTACCTGAGCCAGGTGATCGAGGACAACATCAATGGTGATGTCGTGTCATGTTGATAGTTTGGCCCTTGATGCGATAAAAATGCCACTTTGCCTCTGCAGTCTTCCTCACAAAAACTCATTGCCCCAATGTAATTAAGACTGAGGGACACTGTAAAAATACTTGACTAGTACTACTCAAAATTGTCATCAAAAACAAGGAAAGGGAGAGACTGACGGCTAGGAAGATCCAAGTGAGACATGACAGCTAAATGCAGTATCCTGGATGGGATCCTGGAATGAAAAAGGACATGAGGTAAAAATTAAGGAAATGTGAATAAAGTATGGGCTTTAGTTAATGATAATATATCAATATTGGTTCATTGATTGTAGCAAGTGTACCATACCAATACAAGATGTTAATAATAAGGTGAATGGTTGTTTTTTTTCCTTTAGTTTGGCCTGTTATAACAAAATACTATGGGCTGACTCGTGGCTTATAGACAACAGAAATTCATTTCTCACAGTTCTGGAGGCTGGGAAGTGCAAGTTCAAGGCACCACAGATTCAGGGTCTAGTGAGAGGCATCTTCCTCATAGATGGCTGTCTTTTCACTATAACCTCAGAGGGTGGAAAGGTGAGGAAGCTTTCTTCGGCCTCTTTCATAAGGGCACCAGTGCCATTCATGAGGACTCCACCTTCATGACCGAGTCACCTCCACAGCTTCCACCTTCTACCATCACCGGGGGTGGGGACTTTACAGTGAATTTGTGGGGAAGGGGCAAAAACATGAAGTTCATTGCATGGGGCATATGGGAACTCTGTATTACCTTTGAAGTTTTTCTAGAAATCTAAAACTATTCTACAATTACTTTTAAAGTTTATTAAAAAACAAAGAAGGCTCATGTTGAATAGGTGGCCTGCCCCAGATTAGAACGGGGACTAGAATCTAGGTCATTGGAATTTCCACCACTACCCATGGATGGCAGCTGCGTGTCTGTGGTTGCTGGAGGTACAGGATGAACGTGACTGAGTACCTGCTTCAAATGGAACAATTCAGGAAGACCAAGGCAATGTGAGCAATGAGTGGGATGGAGTTGGGAAGGTGGTATTTCACGATGCAGAACAATCAGCTGGATCAGGCGCCACAGAGCTAGGTGCAGAGGCTGGTCAACCGGGTAGTCGGCACACAGGCTAGAAGACTGGGAACAAAGGGCAAGAGGTCAGGCAAATGTTTTAGGAAACACAAGATTAGAATCTAGAATTAGAGTAATAGTATAGGGAATAAAAAGAATTGTACCTATTGAGTTAAGTACTGTTCTTTTCTATCCTCCCTGCCTGGGGGGCCATGAAGCGTGGCCAGGCCCAAGCTCACAGGTGAGGGGCAGCCAGGATAACGGGCGGGAGCTGGGGAAACGAAGGCAAGGGGGGTAGGAGCCCCTGATGCCTGCCGTCCATCTTCCGGAAATCTCTCGGGTCAGTCTGACTGTATTCTTAACCTTGGCTTTTCTGCCTCTTAGCCTGGTTCCCTCACTGTTCAATGGCATATCCTTCAATCGTAAGCGACTTCCCATCCATATCACCATTTGGGTCTTTATTATTTTTTCTTTTACCATTTGGGTTTTTCAATGAGCTATTTGGGGTTTTACCCCACTGGCCCCGATGTCTCTTATGACCAGTGCCTAATCCCCTGAAACATTAAATATTAGCATATGCAAATGCCAGCTGACATACTATAACCAGTAACGGTACTTTGCCTCTGCCTCTAGAATTGGACCCATTTTACAGAATTAAAATCAGTACTTTCTGAGACCATGCAGCAGGGACTGCTCCTGCCCCTGAACCACCTGTTGCAGTGAGCTTTCCCAGGCCAGGGACCGAGTTCCATTTGTCTCCAGCTTATTATCTGAAGTGCTGGTACACAATAGGCTCTCATTAATTTTTTTTAAATTGAATAAACCAATGACCACCCTCTTACGATTGCTGGTCTCCCCACATTTGCTCTTCTGTTTAGTTTTTTTTCCACTGCAGACTGTTATGGATTGAATTGTGTTCCCCCAAAAGATGTTGACATCCTAACCCCCAGTACTATGAGAACTTATTTGGAAATAGGGCCTTTGCAGATGACCAAATTAAGACGTAGTCATTAGGGTGGGCCCTAATTCAGTATGACTACGTCCTTATAAAAGGACAGAAACAGACACACACACAGGGAGAGCACCACGTGAAAGATGAAGACAGAGACTCCGGTGATGCAGCAGAAGGTAATGAACACAAAATACTGCTAGCAAACCATGGGGACACAAGAGAGGCAGGGCTAGATTCTCCTAGCTCCTAAAAGGAACCAACCCTACTGACACCTTCATCGGGGACTTCTGGCCTCTGTATCATAAGAGTACAACACTGTTTAAGTCACCCAGCTTGCGGGACTTCGTTACAATAGCCCTAGCAAACTAATACACATATCACCTTCACCTTCTACCTTTCTTTAAAAAAAAATTGTCATTGATCTTAGATAGACAAGGGAATGGAGAGAGAGAAGAGAGAGACATCAATTTGTTGTTCCACTTATTTATACATTCATTGGTTGATTCTGGTATGTGCCCTGACTGGGGATCAAACCTATAACCTTGGCGTTTCAGGACAATGCTCTATGTAATGGAGCACCCAGTCAGGGCTCTACCTTATTAATTGCCTACTGTCCTGACTAGAATGTAGGCTCCATGAGGTCAAATATTTTTATCTGTTTTGTTCATTCATGAGTCCTCAGCATGTAGAACCATTTCTGGCACATTGTAATGCTCAATATTTGTTGAAAAAAGTAATATCCACAAATATTTTGGAGGAGAGGGATTTTTCACATTATTTTGTACACTTTTTATTTGAAAACAACCTACATGAAAATGTTCCCAATTATAAAGCAGTAATTGATAACTATCAATTAAAAATAAAATCTACAATGTTTTCTGGCTCCCCTCTAGGAGGAGGGAATCCGAACCCCTCAGAAGTTGTAACTATTGCTGGTGCACTGCTGCTTGCCTACTGACCAAGTTCTTAGGACTGTGAATCCACGTGGGTAATGCAGGGGAGGCCAGCCATCAGGGCTCCTTGTTGCTTCTGTCTTCTAGGTCTACTCCTCTTCTGAATGGTGTAAAAAGTAAGGTCAAGGCAGAAAAGTTGTCTTCACCTCATCCCTGTGACCTTCCTCCTTCTAGTGCCCCAAATATTGGAGTGGTTGCATGCATGTATTCAGGAATTAAAAAAAGAGTAATTTCATTTTCTCCCTGTCATTAAAACACACACACACACACAATTATATATATATATATATATATATATATATATATATATATATATATATGGCTCAGTTTTTTAGTGTTTTCTAAGTGTAGGGGAAAAAAATATTTCCCTCATCCTTCTTACAGTCCCCGGCTGGGTCAAAATTAAACTGACAAAGACAGATTAACAGGAGAAAGGCATACATGCCAAGTAAACTTGAGAAACATGTCAAGCTTAACATGACACAGGAACCTTCTCAAGGAAATGAAGATCTGAAGAAATGGCAAAAACTACTTGCTTTTATGTTAGATTGAACAAAGAAATAATTGTGGAAGAGTCACTAAACTATATAGGGAGGCTAAAGGAATATAAAATTTATTTCAACAAGGTCTGTATAGAATTCTCTTGGTCTTAACTTTTTGTCCTTGGTTTTAAGAATGTTACTTGCCTTCTGGTATAGAGAAGGCATCTTTCATACAGAATTTCATCTCCTGCTTTTAGGAAAAAGAAGGAAGGTCAGTGTTTTTCTCGTAATTGTTTTTCAAGTGCCCCTTGAAACAGTCCTTTGCCAAAACAGCACACCCTGGGGTGACATGCCCTGAACTCCTCCACCAGCATCCTCAGCTTTTCTCAGCAGTTCAGGGGTGTAGGTATTCTCCCAAGGGCAAGAAAACAGAATGGTTACCACCTTACACAGGGGGTGAAGGACTGCAAGGGGGTAGAAGTGAAGTCTCTTAATCTCATTCCAGTGCCCTTTCGGTTGTATTGGTCATAACTGCACATGTGATTTCGTTTTATGTAAGGGCAATTAAGGTGGGATCCCAAAACACAAGGATTCAATTTTAGAACTGAAAGGAACACAGAAAATTCTGCAGGACTTTGCAGCCTTTACCTCTAGCATCTCTGAAGAGACCCTGGGCAGTGAGTAAGGGAAGGAGAGGCTTGAGTTCTTGCCAGTGAGGACAGGCCCCAAGTGTCCTCCTGCGTCAACCGTCTTCCTTCAAATGCACATGCAGGACACACACGCAGTCCAGGCGCCAGCCTTGGGAGATGGTCTTGATGGAAGCCATCCCAGATTCGCATGCAGACACTGGGCACCCCTTAGAGTTCAAAGAAATAAGAAAGATGAACACACCAAAAAGAAGCTGGGATTAAATATATATGGAGAATATCAACCAGGAATGAAAATGTAGGTGGGAAGGAGGTAGATAGAGGGTGAAGACAGCATGGGTTTGGGGGCGCTAAGACCCCATTCTTATGTTGGATGTGCAAAGATAACAACGAGCAGACTGAATGCCACTTCTGAGATTTCTTTGAGCTTCTGATTCAGAACTACATTGTACGTACGAACCCCTCCACACTCACAAAGGCCCTCAGATGGCATCTGGATCGGTTTCAGCAGGATTATATACATGGTGCGATACACTGGGGTCAGGACGAGGAACAGGACTGGAGATCAGGGTAGTAGCACTAGTAACAGGGTAGACTCTTAGGCCGCCCCCTGAGGGCATCTTTTCAAGGCTCCCAAGTTTCTGTAGCTTAAAACAGGCCACTACGCTCTGGAGTCATGAAACGACCCTGCTGCAGGTACCAAGATGCTGGGTGACTTGGTGATTCCGTACCTCAGATTCTTGAGATCTGAGCCTGACCTCTACAGCTAACGAGGCTCTTCTGGAATTCTATGGCCTCCCCCCAAGTCTTCTCCCCAGAAATGCTTCTTAGGACAGGAGAAGCAGTCTTTTAACACCTGGATACCCTTAGTGGCACGAGCTATCGCCGCCCCCCTCGGCCTCGGGTTATTCCGCACTATCTAGGGCTCTGTTGAGGTGGGGGGCGTCCGGGCTGCCACGCGCCCCCCGGGCCCGGTGTGCGGCCGGTGGGGGGCCTGGGGGAGCGCCGGCCGGCCGCCAGATGATGCTCGGAGCCCGCAGCCCAGGGGAGGCGGTGTGAGCCCGCGAGAGCCCGGAGCGACCGCGCTCGAGCGCAGCCTCCTCCCGCTCCCACAATGCACAGGGCGGCGGCGGCGGCAGCATCACCGGCCGCCGAGGGGGCTGCGGCGGCCACTCCGAGGGCGCCGGGCACGCGGAGCGCTCGAAGCTGCTCCCGGTGAGACCCCGAGTGATGGCGTGGCTCCCGCGGGCCGCCCGCGCCTGAGGCGCCCCGCCCCGCCCGGCCCCGCCCGGCCCTGCCCTGCCCGGCCCGCGCCCTCGCGGCAGCCGGGGCGCTTCCTAGTCGGCGCGGGCGGCCGCGCAGGCGGAGCGCGGCCTCCGCACCCGCGTGGGGCACCGACGCCGCGGGCTCGCCATGGCCGCGTCCGAGCTCTACACAAAGGTAGGGCGCCCCGCGGGTGGAGGGAGGCGGCCGCGCAGGCCGCGGCGCGGGCGGTCCGGCAGGGTCGGGAGCGGCTGCGGCGCCACCCCCTTTCCGAGCATTTCCAAACCTGGGGCCCTGCCGGTCTGCCGCCCGCAGAGGCGCCTTCCTCTTTCGGGCGCTGAGGAGGATGAAGGCAGCGGAGGGAGGCGGGCCTCGTGGGCTGTACCTGGCCCCTGACACCTTTCCTGGGCTGGGAGCAGAGCATTTCTGGAAAGGGGGATTTAGTAGGGCGGGCCTGGGTCAGGGCTGCGCAACCCTCCAGTTCGCTTGGGAGATGCTCGTCTGGGCTATCAGATGGTCCCTCCCTTGGGAACACGAGCTTAAAATAACGCCCGGTGCCACTTCTACCGCCAGCCAGCCTTTCTGTGAGATTATTTGGAATCCTGCAAACTGTCAGCAGCCAATTTTCACCCTTAGTTACCGGGTTTCAGATCGCTGCCCCGGGGGTGGTGAGCCCCTGGGAGGATGCAGCCGGATAAATGGAAGCTGATTCACCGGTGGGCATGGTCCTTTCTCATTTGTCGCTGGGAGTTTGCAACCTGCGTGTAATCCCTAGAGCCTTGTTAGACTCCATATCTTCACCATACACTGGGCGAGCCTTTCCCTCTGAGTTTAATAAAGGGAAGTGGCATCCTTTTCTTTGTAATGCTGACATCAGTATTCTCGGGTCTGGTAATCTCTAAATGGCATGTTTTGGAGAACTGTCCCTTTGAAGACTGTTCTGAAAATTTGTCTGGGACAGTGTGTGGTGTCCTTTGTGAATACGTGTAATCTTGGTATTTTATACTGTAACTCATATGTGTAGGTAAGAGTTTTGTCAGCTGTTAATTACCTCTAATTACCATGAACAAAATGGCCTTGACTTTTCAAGTTCACATTTGCAGCAAAATCTCCATTTAGGATTCTAGAATCATTGCTTCCAAATGAGACCCAAGTAAGCCCAAGACCCAAGTTGCAGCCCGTGAGGGAGAAAAGAGGTCTGGACTCAACATCAAGAGAACTGGATTCTAGCCCCAGGTGTTTTCACCTACTGTGCGACCTTGGGTCTTCAGTGAATGGGGTTAATTGTATGTGCCCTGCATCTCTTAAAAAGCTGCTGTGAGGATTAAATTTACAAATAAATAGGAAACCTTTTTGTAACCTGTAAATTTCTTTACAAACATGAGTTATATGATTAATTTCTTCAACCATGAAATGAGGAGCTTTCTTGGAATATTTTCTGGGACCGCTTTCTTTCCAGCCCCAGATTTAGAGTACACAATTGCAACTCTTCTCTAAACCTAGTAATTTCCTTAGGCATTGTAGATCTCTAGTGCATCAATGAATACAGTTGGAAACTATTCACAGTCACTTGAATCACAAACATTTATGTAGTGCCGACTATGTGTCAGGTACTGTGCTAAGTGCTTTACAGATTAGTTCACTTAATTCTTATAATGAATGTATGAAGTGGCTACTAAGAAATACCCGTTTGAGTCATTTCTCACATGAAGAGATCTGTAAACATTCCTTACTTTGTATAGTCCCCTTCCCTCTTTCTCTGTGGTGAGGACTCCATCCTTGAGCTGCCTAAATGTTGGTTGGTTAACTAGAGAAGGGCTGGATAATAAATAGCCCTTAGATTTTGGATCTGCTTTTTCTCACCAAGATAATTTGTGGTGGGGGTGGGGTGGGGTATGGGGAACATATTGTGATTTTTCAATTGTCAGGTTAGGGGTTTCAGCCATAGTTTCAAATTACCTGTTTTAAAGTCATCTTCTAGTCATTATAAACACAGACTGGTTTAGACATCAAGATCGAAGTTGAGTTTAAGCTAGCCGCCTTCTCCTAAATGCACTTATGCCTAAAAATAATCTAGTCACTTGGCTGTGGTTGGCCAATTCTTTGTGTGAATGGACTTTAGCTCAATGGTGGGCAAAAGTATCTGTTGACCACCTCCTGGGTGTCAAGTACTCTGCTTAATGTTGAGCGGTTCTGACAGTGAACAAGACACAGTCCTTTCCCTCAAAGGGCTCATAGTCTGTTTCTTACATTCTTCACCTATTTTGAATCTCCAAGGACATAAATAACCTGCTGTAACTCAACAGACGGGAGATAGCTACTATAGTATTAGCAGAAGTTGGAGAACAGGTTGGGACATGGAGAATGTTGGGATGGTTCTAGAAACAAAAGCTTGGATAGTGATTGTTAGAGGGAGAGGGAAATCGTTGGAAGTAGTATCAGTGGCTAGCCACAAGGATTTTTCCCTCGCAGAGGATTATGGGAAAGGAGGTTCTGGGGTAGAGGACCAGGAGAGCTGTATTAGTGACATGCCATCATTATGGTATTCAGAGTAGCGGTTAACTCTGAAAAGTGCCATTTTACAAAATGTCATGCAGAGCTTAAAGGAAGATTTTGATGGGTGATACACATCAGCTCTTGTTGTGGTGAAAGGCAAGAGACCCTTCAGTTTATTCTACTTAGTTAAAATGATAATGGTTTTGTCATGGCAATTTAATAGGGTTTCCATTTTGTAAATTTTTCCAGCAGTATAAACATTTTAAGGATAATAGCTATGTTCCTAGGATATGATACTTCTGCAATCTAACGTTTTGTTTAAAACGTGTTTGTTGGTATTAAAAGTTACAGATTTATTGAGATATAATTCCCATACCATACAATTTACCAGTTCAGTGGTGGTTTTTAGAATATTCATAGAGTTGTGTGTCGATTTGTTTTTAGATCTGCCTGGCTTCCCAAAGGAATTGAAGGTGCCTGTGATGTGTCATTGCCTCTGATTTTGAAAATATTTGCTAGTCTTGACTCGTCAGTGGATATCCGAAGCATAACATCACCCATAGATGCTTTCAGCAACTTCAAAGGATTTAGCATTTATGGAGCAGAGTGTATTAATTAAACCTAGACAGATCATTAGCAGCAATAAGATGTCACGCTAGTCCTCCTTACCTGAGGTTCCGAGACACCACTGATAGCACCGTAAATGCTGTGGAGTGGTCAAGATGACCTGGAGTTGTTTCACTGGGAGTCTCCGTGGTGTGTCAGGAGGCTGCGTTTTGTGACAGTGCAAAAGGTTTTAAAGCCCTCCTCACTCTAGAGCCACATACACTTGGCTGGTTGGAATAGTTGTTTCAGCTGGTAGATTGCATGTCCGCAGCCTTCCTTTCCCACCGTATTCCCTCAGACCCACTGACGCGACGTGGCCAAGATTTTCTCTGGGATAGTTTCAATTTTATATTCTGTGCCATTGTTCCTTTAAACGATCAATCATGGAAGTTCTAATATTTTGGTGTCAAAATTGGATTTCTCAGACTGCTTCCAAAATCTTAAAGCAGGACAGCAGTCTCGTCTCTGATCATTTCCTGAAGTCTCCTGTCACGCCTGGTCCATCAGGGTTTCCTCCTGACGTCCCTAGGCCTGCTAATGGCAGTGCAGTTCTCTGAGTCCGTGGGGTTGGAGGCCTCAACAGACTTCCCCTTGTCTCTTTGCGTTCTGTATCTTCTTTACCAGTTCTAATTTTACTTGACATACAGCTGACAGTTCTGTCTCAATGACCTGTACAAATTTCCATCTTGTTATAGTTACTTGTGTGCATGTCTGCCACTCCCACAATAACCCTCTGAGATGCTGATCAGCGTTTTGTTCACCCTCTGGTAGAGCCTCACTCATTGTCTCACACATAGTAGGTGCTGATTAAATATTTATTGATTGAATGAAAGAATACTTAGAAAAAAGATAGAATGCGAATAAGGGTTTGAGATGATTTAGTCCACTTGTAGGAATGAAGCAGAGTGTAAAAAAGTTATTAAACAGGTAAACACAATTTCAGGCATGTTGAACAGGATGAGTAATAGAGAGGAGAGCTGGGACCCTGGGAGACCCAGGAAACTGTTGCAGGAAACAATGTGAAGTGATGAAGACCCAGTAGACGGAGACCAGGCAGAAGGTGTGGGAAGGAAGGGGACACATCTGAGAGACGGGACTCTGATGCATTAGGTATAAGATGGGAAGGAGAGGAAATAATGTAAATTAATGCTAGTAGCTCTAGCTTTGGAAACTGAAATTTTATTCCTACTAATCATGAATTTTTGCCGATTCTAAAGAACTGAAGCTACTCAGATACTTCCTTAGACTACTGGAGCAAAGCAGAATACTCATAATTTTCTCTTAAAATGCTACTGCCTCTTGTAGTGTGAAAGTTCAGTGTATTGCCCAGTGGCTAAAAGATTACAGAGAGATTCTAATTTAATGAGAATTGCTACTGTTACATGAACAGTTTAAATATCTGCAGTGTACCCTGGCTGGTGGGCTCAGTGGATTGAGCACAGGCCTGTGACCCAGAAGGTCACTGGTGAACCTGGTCAGGGCATATTCATGGGGGCCAGGTCCCCAGTTGGAGGGGTACGAGAAGCAACTCCCATCGATGTTTCCCTCTCTTCCCCTTTCTCTAAAAATAAATAAATAAAATCTTTTAAAAATTAATAAATAAATATCTGTGGTGCTGTTAGCTTTTCCAAGTAGGCCAGTGCTGGAGGAAGATCTATGAATGGGTTCCAAGGATTTAACTGCAGTGTCCAAAGGCTCAGGGAATGTGGTGGTAACTTTTCTATGGGAGAGGAGAGATGAATTCCCTTACCTAACATCTTATCTCAGAAGGTATGTTAGCTTCTCCGTTTGCCATTTTATGATGGATTTTGCCTCCATTGGGAGAATCTGGGAGCACGTGGCCCAGGGAATATGGACTTGGATTTATTTGTCTCCATTTAGGGCAGTTCCTGATGAAGACTAAGGCATTACTGGAAGTGTCAACTCGCGGCTGATCTGTGGAATAAAGTCTGGCCCTTGGTGAAATACTGTGCGGGCCAGTCCACTCCTCCCACTCCACCCCGATAGACGCTCTCCTCTGTCCCACAGTGCTCTTCCCAGACTTTTCCATCTGACTGCCTACGGGAGTTTGTCCCCTCTTTTCCTCCAGTGCCTGCCTCTCTCTCTAATCAGCTTTATTGAGGTATAATGTACATGTAATACAATTAAATGATTTAAAGTATACACTTCAATGAATTTTGACAAATATATTCTGTCATGTAATCACCACCACAAACAAGATATCAAACATTTTGCCTGGCTGGTGTAGCTGAGTGGATTGAGTGCCATCCTGCAAACCAAAGGGTTGCCGATTCCATTCCCAGTCAGTGCACATGCCTGGGTTGCGGGACAGGTCCCCAGTTGGGGGCGTGTGAGAAGCAAAGGATCGATGTATCTCTCACACATTGATGTTTCTCTCCCTCTCTTTCTCCCTCCCTTCTCCTCTCACTAAAAGTAAATATAAAAAAATTTAAAAATAGAACATTTTTATCAGCCTCAAAAATTCCTTTGTGCTTAGTTTCTTCTCTTTTTCAGATTATTTAGAGAGCTTACTGGAGTTGTGTTTGTTCACCAGAGTAGAGAGAAGAGTTGTTTGTTTTAAAAAATATATGTTACGGTTCCACTTTAGCCCAACTAATAGAAATACTTAATAGAGGCCTGACCTTGGGAGTCACTGCTGTGGAGTGTCACTGATGGTGAGAGGTGGGGGTAGATGGAAAGGGAGTTTGGGTGGTTGATTTCA